ATAAAAGTTACTTTTAATACATACCTTAAAAGAAATCATTCGAGGTTCTCGTAGAATTTACTTTTGACAAGTAATATATCCAATATTGTTTCATAAATCAATAGGTCAAAATTTGCAAAACAATAAAGCAACTAATTTGTAATTGTTACAAAATAAGTTAGTGGTAAATGTGCTCTCTTTTTTATCCATTAGATATATGATTAATCATGGATAAAAATATATTTAATTCAATTGAATAATTGTTAGTTCAGTTTTTAAAGTAAAAAAATTAAATTAAATTGTTCAGTTAAAATAATCATATTTTTATACATAATTAATTATGTGTGTTAAAATACGAGAGATTGAGAGACATTTGAATAAACAATGTGTTTTGAAAAGAATTATGAAGACTTTATTATACAGAGAGATTATAGCTAATTACATGATATAACCGATTTGGAACTATTCTATATACAAATATTCTCAATACTATATATTTACAAATATCAACATTCCCCCTCAAGCTGGAGCATATAAGTCAAATGCACCAAGCTTGCCACATATATAATTAGTTTTGGGACTTTACATGGATTTTGTAAACACATCTTCCAATTAATCATTTGAGTTGACAAAGCTTATGACGATGTCTCCAGATTCAATCTTTTCTCTGACAAAGTGACATTCTATCTCAATATGTTTGGTCCTCTCATGAAAGACTGGATTTGAAGCAATGTGCAATGCAGTTTGATTATAACAGACAAGTGTCATTGGTCTTGCTTCTTCAATTTGAGCGCATGATCTTGCAGGTACATTGTTTCTTACTTTTTTAAGATATAAGGTTTCCTCCGACAAGTACACAATATCCATAGGTGAGCCGTCTATCAATCGGTGACCCTGTCCAATCAACATCCGAGTATCCAACTATCTGAGTATGTCCTTTATCTTCATACACTAAATCTTTTCCTGGAGCATATTTAATGTATCTCAGAATCCAGATAACATCATCCAAGTGTTCCTGACAAGGGAAATTTAAGAACTGGCTTACCACACTAACTACAAAAGAAATGTTTGGACGAGTGACTGAGATAATTCAACTTTCTAATCAATTTATTATACCTTCATGAGTCTGATAGAGGCTCCCCCTAATTGGGTAGTTGTTTGACACTTGGATCTATAGGAGTATCAACTGGTTTAGTGTTCAACAAACATGTTTCTTCCAAAATATCCATAGCATATTTCCACTAAGAAATCATTAAACCATCTTTAGATTGGGCTACCTAATCACCTAAGAAATAGCGTAGTTTACTAAGATCTTTTGTCTAAAATTGATTCGATAGATGTTGTTTCAACTAGAGTATTCCATGTTGATCACTATTAGTTATGACAATATCATCTACACACATAATAAGATAAATACACCCTTGGGTTGAATGACGATAAAAGACAAAATGGTCAGCTTCACTATGGACCATACCAAATTGTTGTACTATAGTGCTGAATCTGCCAAACCAAGCTCTTGAAGATTGCTTAAGACCATAAAGAGGAATGTGTAGTCTACAAACCATATTCAATGACTCCCCTTGAGCAACAAATCCAAGTGGCTGCTTCATATATACTTCCTCTTAAAGATCACCATGTAAAAAAAAATGCATTTTTGATGTCAAGCTGGTGAAGAGGTCAATTTCGAATGGCTAGCAGAAGTCTAATAGATGCCATCTTGGCTACAAGTGGAAAGATATAACTACACTATTTAAATCAATCAATCTTACCATCTGGACCAACTTTCATTGTATAAAGCCAATGATAACCTACTAAAGATTTCCCAGGAGGTAAAGGAACCAGGTACCACTACTTTGAAGAGCACACATTTCATCAATCATTGCTTGCCTCCACTCAGGGTGAGATAATGCTTCACTTGGAGTTTTAGGAATAGAGATAGAAGAAAAACAAGTATACTGCAAAGAGGAAAGGCGATGATAACATAAATCAATATAATATGGAGAAGGATTTCGTGTTTGATGTATACCTTTTCGAAGGGCAATCGAAAGATCAGACTTATGTTGTAGGATCGAATTTGGTGATGGATAGGGCATCAGAGGAGAGTCTGCAATGACCTCAGGAACAAGTACGACAAATGTTGGTTGACGATGCTGATATGTTTGAAGTGGGCGAGAAGTTGGGGTCAACCGTAGAGTTATCTAGTGGGCCAAGTTCCTTAGAATGATGGGGGATAATGACATATGGGACTTCTGGAAAAGGTGTGGGAGTACTCTTCTGAAGGGGTTCTTGAGTTACTTGGCTGAACTTGAAATATGGAACAGGCTCGAAGAAGGTGACATCGACCGACATGAGGTATCATTGTAGAGTATGTGAATCACAACAATAAACTTTTTTGGGATCGATGATAACTAAGAAAAATACACTTTAATGATCGAGCTGATAGTTTATCAAGATCAGGAGAGAGATTGTGCACAAAACATGTAGACTCGAAGACTCGGGAGGAATTGAGTGAAGGAGGGAATGGGGAAAAAAGGTTGAATGAGGGATTTTATTATTAAGGACAGATGACGATGTATAAGATAACATGTTGTTAGCACAACATCCCCCCAAAACCGGAGTGGAACATTACCATAGAGAAGTAGGGTCCGAGGGGTTTCTATGAGATTTTTGCGTTCGACTATCCTATTTGTTGAGGTGTATGAGGGCAAGATCTTTGATGGAGAATATCATTACTGGACATAAAATTTTGAAATGTTGGGATAAATATTCATGAGCATTATCACTTCTTAAGGTATGAATAGACACACCAAACTAAGTTTTTATTTCTTTATAAAAAATTTCAAAAATATAAAATAATTCTGATATATTTTTCATTAAAAATAACCACGTGCAATGTGAAAGATCATCAATAAAGATGACAAAATACCTAGTCTCAAGATTAGAGAAGTACGCGAGGGACCCCAAACATCGGAGTAAACTAAAGTAAAAGGGGACGTAGCTCATTTTTTGACTCAATTGGGAAATTGACTACGAGTTTGTTTCCCTAACTGACACGACTCACAATGTAAATTAGATACCTTCGATAAACTTGGCACTAACTTGTGTAATTTGGGAAGACTAGGATGACCTAACTGAGCATGGATAGTGAGTGTAGAATATTTGGATGAGCATGTCTGAGATGACACTGAGAGGTAATAAAGGTCTTGAGACTCACATCCGACGCTAATTGTTCGTCCCGAACTCAGATCCTACAGGGTGACATTACTATTAGTGAATGTGGTAATACAATCAAGAGAACAAGTTAAATGAATAACTGAAAGTAAATTAAATGGACAGTTAGGTACATAGATAACATAAGTAACAAAGAAAGAAGGTAGAAACCTGAGGTAGAGAGGGAAGAGAAAATATTTTTATTATTGGTAACATGATCAGAAGCACTAGAATCAAAAACTCAAGGTCTAAGAGAATATGATTGAGAGAGATAAACAGATGAATTACCAGTGTGTGCAACCAAAGCAGTAGAATCTGAGTTTCGATAGTCCTGATACCACTTAAAGAAATCATCGTAGTTTGGTGTAAAGTTCTGAGGAGTACCCATGAGTATCTGAAGAGAGAAGATATCACACGAACCAGATAAGAAAGACTCTGTTTTAGTTGGATCATAGTTTTCAATGAGGGGAAAATAAAATCTGAAGTTGAATCTAGAATAAGGGCAGGAAGACGAGTGGGTCGGTGGAAAAGTCTTCGGGATCAGCCGAATCGGAGGAGGCGCTTATGTCGGTAGTGTTGGTTTGTCGGAAGGTCGTCAGAAACAGTAGCTACGGCGGCGGTAGTGACCGGAGAAATTTAAAAACCGATGTCTGAATGAGTCACAGTCGTGTATGAAAGGCAAACTGGAGTTATGACACGGTTTTCCAAAAATTTCTCACCGGAAGACAGTTGATCAACCGGGTAAAGTACAGTGACGAGTTGTCTCTCAATAGACTTTGAATACCATATTAAAAATCGAGTGGTGATTAATGAGCTCATTGCCATAAAAACTTCCGAATTTAAGGTCTATCTTTTTATTCCATCACAAGACTAGTTTTATTAACAGCTCAAGTTATATTACAATATCATTACAAGTGACAAAACGGGTTGGGTTTGTCGAATTGATCTATTTGACAGAGTATTTTTAATAGATTGGATAAAGATTTTCGACTCGGTACTTTAAATTGACCTGTTCCGCCTAGCCCACTTAAAAAATGGGTCGAAGCGGGACAAGACGGATTTTGTCCGCAGACTTTTTGTTAAACTTTTTTTATTTTTTACTTAGAATTAAAATAATTTTAACTATTAAAACAATATTTTTCTCTTATGATTATATTGATTGAATTGTATTATAAATTATTATCCAGACAAATTGAATTATAATTGTAATGTTCTTTCTATAAATTTCTAATACATGTGTTGATTGGAAAAATTTGAAATAAAAAAACAATTATATGACATGCAGAATTATTAAGTTGTCAAATACATTAATTCTGATGTTTTCTTTGGAAATAAATGTTGATTTAAGAAGAAAAAAATTATTTGATTTATATATACATGAGACAAATTTAAGATTTAACTATTGAGAAATCAATCAATATAAAAGTTTATATGATGTAAACAATAAGAAACTCTAGTATTGATATTTTATACACATCAGTGGTAAGCCCAAGAAACATCATCAAAGAGGCAATTAAAAGAACTCCATGCTAAAATTTGATTAGTAACAACATGTATTCAACATTTCTCTTTTTTCTTTCTATAATCATTGTAAATTTACAACAATATAATTTACCAATACCAAAAGAATAAAAATACAACAGCCTTTTTGTATGAAACAAAAACTCTACCTATCCTTTGGATAGAAAACAAGGAAGTGAGTGTTTGGTGAAAGGAGAAATCACGGTAGCAAATCAGTGAGAAAGAAGCTACAAATAGTAGCTTCACAAAATCACGGTAGAATGAATAACTTTACAAAAGAAATAAATGTGTTATCTTTGTGGATTTGAGATGTGAAGCATTTCTATCTCTGCATTTCCATTGATCCTCAGATTCTTAAACTTCTCTACTTCTCTTGAAATCTGAATATCATTTGGACAATAATATTGATGAATGAATTTTACAACAAAACGGGGAAGCAATGCTGCTATTTGTATTCCAATTAAACATAACCAGAACAATGCAGTGCCTGCAACATCAAAGATAGCCCTGCAAAGTTTTGTACAAAGAATGTGTTACCGCGTTGGATTCATTTGTATAGAAATGTAAAAAGAGAGAATGTGAAAGATAGGATGTACCAGTAACCATGAAGTGCCGGTATAGCATCAATAATCATGACACATATGAAAGTTGCAACGATAGACCCCCAAATGGACGCGTGAGTAATCCAACTCCACCTGATTACATCCATGGCCAAGTGCAAATTGACCAAAATAACTACCGAAAGAGTCCAAAGATCCCCTATGCTTGCTATATCTATTGTGCTTCCCCAATATGCGAAGAGAGGAGCAAAGAAGACAACAATGCTTTGCCATAAAGTATCGGCTATCATCAACCAAAACAATTTTTTGTTGTAGGCCTCTTGTCTTTGTCCAGCTCCGTAAAGCTGAGGATTATGCAGGAGAGTCCTTTTACTAAGATCCTTGTCAAGAATACCAACAACAATTGTCGGCACCGCAGTGTAGACTATCGAATACAACACACTGCTCCATTCATTTATAGCAGTTGTCACAGTGAAGGCAGTGAAGAGTACGTACCTGGTAGACAAAGAAACACGACAAGATAGTAAGATGCCAAAATTTGAAATCATGCGTCTTAAAAGCCAATAAGAGCTATCTATCTATGATCGCCGCCGTTTTTTCAGAAGAGTTTTTATGAACAAATTTGACCAAAAACTAGTGTCTATTTGGAGAATAAACAAGTCAAAGAGGCACCATATGTATATGCATAACCTGAATTATAACTTACCAAAATAGAATTAGAACAAAGACAGCATTTCTGTAAAAATTGTATAGCACCATGTAGCCTAGTCGTTGGTAATTCCAATGTCCGTGTATGAATAAGAGAGGAACTAAAAACCTAAACTGCCCCATTGCAAAATCGGAAGCCATTACAGCTTGCCTACCCTCCTGTCCACTGATGCCGACCCCAACATCAGCCATTTGGATCATTGATACATCATTAGCACCTATAACACGTCAATGATAAAGAATGTTTACAAAATACATAAATCAGATAAAAAAAAACTATTTTTAATCTGTGCTGTTTCTTTCTTTTGTTTCTTTTCGTCTTCTTTGTCCTCGTGTTTTGTTCTCGGGAAATGATAATCTGAAACAAGTAAACAGAAGATATCATACCATCTCCAATGGCTAGAGTCATGTCAGCTGTCCTTTTCTTCACTAGCGACACAATTCCGGCCTTTTGCAAGGGAGCCACTCGACAACATAGAACAACAGAACATCTTTGTGAAAGTTCAAAGAGCTGGAATCAGCAGCAATGAATAAAATCAGCACATAAAAGATAAGCTTTCATGCATTGTAAACGTCATTGATCTGAGATCTGCAGGCACGTACCTCTTCTTCAAGTTCATTGTCAAGAATATATACAAGGCTTGTACCATCAATAATCAAGGCCATTGGAGTTGAAACAACCTCAACGGAATTCCCGTCGAAATAATTGCCAACCTCATTTTTTCTGGACATGAGAAGTGCGTCTTGTAAATGTCTTCTACACGACTCTCGATTATTGCTCTTAATTCTAAATTGAGTCATGCCGCTTGTCAGTAGCCTTGAGGAGTAGCCAATCGAAATGGCGGTTTCCTGTTTGTCACCGGTCAATACCCATACTTTAATACCAGCTTGCCTTAGAGACTGAATAGATTCCGGCACACCTTGTTGCAGTTTATCTTCGATAGCGGTAGCGCCCAATATGCATAGGTTATTCTCTACATTGGCTGCAACCTTACGAAGCAAAGCAGCCCTACCGATCAAAGAAGTACTTGCTGCCTCAAAAGCAAAGTGCCATTGATCAAATTCTGAAGGATTCAAGTCACGCATCCCAATAACAAGCGTCCTCAAGCCGATGGAAGAATAGTCGTGAAGATGGGTTTCTGTTGCTTGTATTACATCTGTGTTCAATGATTTATTGATTACACTAAACATTGATGTATCCGCCCCTTTGACGAAAAGTTTCACTGAATTGTCAATGTAACCTAATATAACCGACATCCTTTTCCGATCACTATCAAATTCATGCAAACCCAAGACATTGAACCTGCATAGCCATTAACACTGAGTTATTTTAAATTGTCAAATTTCAACAGAAAAATGACTGTTTGAGTTGAGGAAGAAAACGAAAAACGCAATTATTAAAAAATAAAAATAAAACCTTTGTCTTTCTCCATGAATATCAATGACTATGTAACCTGAGGTTCGTTCAATAAGCATAAAACCGTAGGCAGCGGCAGCATAAGTCAACGCTTGTTCATCTGGTGACTCCCCTTGATAATCTACCAGCTTGACTGTAGGGTCAGATGTGTCGATAACAAGAGGCACAATAGTATTGCATGCTGCAAGTGCAAGAAAGAAATCGTAAATCCGTTTTCCATCTCTGTTTGAAAATCCACTTTTCGATAATCGCAAAAGCTCTTCATTAACTTTCACCTTCATCTTTGGCTTCAAGACCTTTCCATTCACTGAGACAAAACATTGACACAAAATAAACGCGTCATGTTAATTACAAAAGATGAAAAATAGTATATTAGAACAACAGACAAGCATAGTTGAAGAAGAAATTGCACCTCGAAGAGAGTATTCAAGTTGCTCATTCTCAAGACCCGCTTTTGCAGAACTGTAATCAACACCCCAGATACTCGCACATTGAAACTCCATCTTGTTCTCAGTGAGAGTACCGGTTTTGTCCGAAAAAACATATTTAATCTGCCCTAAATCTTCATTGATATTCAAGGCCCTGCACTGAAACTTTGAATTTGTCGCCTCATCATACAATCTAGAATCCTTGATCATGAAATAGGCCTGACCAACACGGACAAGCTCCATAGAAATGTACAAGGATATGGGAATCATAATCTGGAAAACTATAACTGACATAAGAAATGTGAAAACAATTTCCACACCCCATCCATAATACTGATAACTTTCCTCTTTTCCCTTCGAAACATCCAATTTCCTATAATAAGGCAATAGATTCAATTTATTCTTGTTTTGCCTTAACCAAACACCAGCACAAACTGAAGTGACTGTACACAAAGCTACAAGAAAGACCGAAAGCATGATGATCTCAGAGTTCATCTGAGTCTCAAGCCGACTCCTCTTAGACGGAGCCCCTGAGTTGTTGAGCATAGCTTTCGTCTCACGACCACAATACACCGCAACACCAACCACACAACTAGTATTCTTAAGCTCACAACCTCTAAGCACAATATTCGAAGAACCAAGCGACAATCTCTTCCCATCAATCTCCATTGTTGCTTGAAATCCATAAATATTCCTATTCGGTTTCTCACACTTAATCAAACCACTATACCTCTCCTTCTCATGAAACTTAAACTGAGTCTCTTGTTTCGCGTACCTAGTTTTCAAATTCGACTCCCCATCTAGATTAAGCGTCTGAACATAAGCAACCCCGGTGGGATCACTAGTCGACAACAAAACAAAATCACAAGGAATCGGTTGATTAGCATTGATTTTAACAATCTCACCAACTCTAATATCTTTCCATTTCTTGTCTACAAAACAACCATTAACCAAAACCAATCCTAACCTATTATTCTCAACTTTATCTGACCTATGTCTCCTCCAATCCTCATAAGCATCCTTAACAGCAGTAACAAGAAGAACAATACCTAACGGTAAAAGTGAAGCACCTCTCCCAAAAACAGCTAGTTGAGGTAACTGATTAAGAATAGCAATTAACAGAAAATAAACATAAGCAACTCTATGAAACTGTTCAAATAAATTCCTAGGAAGAAAAGTGAAAAATGAATACTTTCCAGTACGGATTGAGTTTCCTGAAAATTCAAATCTCTCGTTTGTTTTATCAGGATCATCAACGTAAATCAACCTAGCATCTTCATCACTGATTTCCTTCTGAGACATAGTCAAAGCTTCAAAATCAGCCTTTGAGTTTGAACCGTGTCTCACTGGTTTCGAGTCCGGGTGACCAAAAGCTGCACGTGATGATGATGAATTCCCAGATGGGTTTTCAGTTCGCATCATGGTTGTGCTAGAATAGTTGACTTTGACTTTACTAGATCTTGAAAAAAAACATAATTGGGTTTTACGATGTTGTTGGAGATTGGATCAGAAGATAAGAAACAACATTAAAAAAAAACATGATCCAATGAATTAACAGACATAGAATAGTTGTGTCGTGTCGGTTGGGTTGATGAAAATGGAGAAAAAGGTGTAAAATTTGCAGGACAGGTCAATGGTGGTGGAAGTGTGTGTAGAGAGAGAAAGAGGAGAGAGAGAGGACGGCAGTATGGAAGAAAAAGAAGAAAAATAAAGTTGGTAAATGGATGACTCAGTGACACTTTAAAGTTGTCTTTTTTTTTTTAGTGTCAAATTTGAATTTAATCAAATAATAGTAGTAAAGATAAAAGGAATTATTGTATAAAAAAAAATTTATTTGAAATAGTAGTTGAATTAATAATTTTTATCTCTTTTCTTTGTAATTTATTCTAATTTTTTATAAAATATTGTCAATTTATAAATATAAAATTATTGAATATTAAATTAATAATTTACATTTATTTAACTTAAATAGCACATGTCAATTGAATTAATCCACTAATTTAATATTTTTAAAATAAATATGTTTTTTATTTTTTTAAATATTTTATATTTTATTTTAGTTCTTTAAAAAATAATCCTTTTAAAATTTTATATTCATACTTTTGGTTCTTCTTTCAATTTAATTATTATTTTTATAATTTAATTATAGAATTAACAACGATTTATTATTTAGCGACGGTTTTAACAGAAAAGATTAATAATTTTATGAAAAAAATTTAAAATGATCATAATAAAATATGAGATATATAAAAAGACTATAAATATGTTTAACTCTATTTTTTAATTACAAACATTTAAAAAATTAAATTTTGTATTAAAAAATCTGCAAATAGTTATAATGTTTTTTACATTTTTTTTGCTGGTTGTTTCCATTCCACAATCTTTCATTTGTATCATTTATCAATGGAAAATACTTGTTAGTATGAAAGCAAGAAATACAAAAATTAAATATCAACCATTCATTATTATTATTATCTAATAATTTCTATTAAAAAAGAAATTAAATTTAAAATAAATTTGAAAATATTCTCTAATACAACGACAAATATATATATATATATATATATATATATATATATATATATATATATATATATATATATATATATATATATATATATATATATATATATATATATATATATATATATATATATATATATATATATATATATATATGTGTTTTTTTTTTTATTATTATATTTTATTTTATTAAATAATAATAATTAATAATAACATAAAAATGAGAATTGATTCGCTAAATTACTAACTAATAATTAATGAAATTATTCTATGTCATTTTACATTTAATAAATTAACGTAGTCGTTAATTTATCAAACACTTCAATTAAATTATAATTTTTTTGCAATTAGTCATTAACTATAAATTAATGGCTGACTTGTTCTCGATATGTAGCACAAGAGGTTTCTTCACTTCAACCTCCATCTCATCCAGAACAGATCTGATCTAGATTGCTTAACAAGTAGCATAGGATCCTGCTATATATTCATCCTCACACGATAATAATGTTACCATGTGTTGCTTTCTCGAGCACCATGAGATTGTGATACTAAATACTTGAAAGAAATAATCAGTTATGATTATATGATCTTCCTTATCTCCACACCAATCAACATATGAATAGCAAGTAATCACAACTTATTTGCTTTCAGAATCTCGTGGAAACAGAATTCCACAGTTAATTGATTCTTTTAGGTATCTCAGGATTCTTCTTCTAGCTTTCATGTGTGACACGTTTGATTCATCCATGTATCTTCTCATTAATCCTATAGAGAAACCTATAGTAATTCTGTTATTGCACACATACCTCAGAGATCCTACAATTTGTTTGAACAAAGTAACATGGACCTCGTCCTCTTCTCCATGCTTCTCTAGTTTCAGATTTGGTTCGTCAGATGAGGATGCATGATTCGAATCATCCATCCTAAATATCTTAATTATTTCTTTGGCATACTTCCTTTGATGTAGCACCATTAGTTTCTTGGTAATTTGAAATTCCACTCCTAGGAAATATGACAAGTTTCCCAGATCTGACATTTCAAATTCCCTTTTCTTTAGCTGTTTAAACTTCGATAAGTTCTCCGTGTTATTTCCAGTTACTAGCAATTCATCGACATATTAACAAATGATGTTTATATCTTGTGTTATGATCTATACATAGAAATCATACTCAGGCCCGTATTTGACGAATCCCAATTCGACTAAGTATGAGTCATTTTCTTGTTTCATGCCCTAAGAGCCTATTTGAGACCATAGAGGTCTTTGTGAAACTTGTAAACTTTCTTTGCTTCCTCCTGTATCACAAACCCAAGAGGTTGTGTGACATACACGACTTCATTTAGGGGATCATTCAAAAATGACGATTTCACATCCAAGTGAAAATGTCGACCAACCTTGCTTGCATGCCAAGGCTACTACTAATCTGACAGTCTCCAATCTTGCTATTGATGCACATACTTTAGAATATTCGGGCCCTGTCTTTTGAAGAAATCCATGAGCTACTAATCTTGTCTTATGTCTTGCAATTGATCCATCAGGATTGTGATTCAGCTTGAATGCTCACTTCACTTTGATAACTTTTATGTGTGTTAGCAATTCGACTAGCTCTCTTGTGTTATTTCTTTCAATTGATTGCAACTCTTCAACCATAGATGGTTTGTATTTGTTTATTCTTTAAAGTATCACTATAGTTGATTGGTTTGGCACCTGCAAGTAAAGCAAAAATAACCAATTATCCATTTGGTGTGACTTCATCATCACCAACCACTTCATAGTCTTGAAGTCTTGCTAGAAGAACTCTAGTTCTTTAAAGTATTAGGCTTGTGCTATCTAGACCTTTACTATCATCTACTTCGACTTCAACTCTATTATTTTCTTTGACTTCTACTGTTGCTGGAGTGTCATTAATTGGAATTTCTTCGTGATCACTACTTTTTTCTTCAACACCATAGCTCATCAATGGCTAATTATTTACATCACCTGAATTCCAATCCCATAACAGAGTTCTTATAAATCACGATGTATCCACCCATCACGATCTTATCATTGATTGGATTGAATAACTTGTATGCTCTAGTTTTGTGATATCCTACCAGAATCTTAGGTTCACTTTTGTCATCAAGTTTCCCTCTTCTTGCATCAGGAACATTTTTGTACTCTAAAATTTGCTCTCCCATTATTCAAGACAAATTATTTCAATAGGTCTCCCCATGCTCCTAGGGTTCTCTATAACGCCTGTTAATTTAATTAATTATTTAATTAAATTATTTTTGAATTATTTATTGAACTTGTGAGATATTGAGAATTATTGATATAAGTTGTTAGATTATTATTAATTAATTAATTAGTTGATTAATAATAATAATAATGTTGAAATTAATAGAATAATTATGTTGGACTTATGTTATTGGTTGGAAGAAGTAATGTGGGGGTGTGTAAGTTAGGCCCAATAGAATTGATGATATAAGGTTAAGCTGACACAAGGATTTGGATTTTGGAAAATAAGGAGTTATGTGCGGTGACCGTGTGAAGCCGCGTGAAGAGAGGAGCAGTTTCCTGATGTCGAGCAGAGCAAAGCAAGGTTGTCGACTGGAAATTTTGGTAGAGCAACCTTTAATCCAGGTAAGGGTGGGATTATGACCTTATAATGGGATTAATGATGTGCATTATGTGGGAATTGGTCGTTTGTATGACTGTTGTACGTTGATGTTTCTGGATCGGTTTTTTAAGTTGCTCGGTTCCTCATGTTGTGGTCGTTTAGGGAGTTACAATATGACTGTCTTGCATGATTAGTGAACCTGTTGTTGAAGTTGCCCGTTAGTAGTGTTATGGGAGTTTTGAGTTGTTTGTATAATTTCCCGGTAGAATCGATGATTAGGTTAGTGTAGTTTATCATTGGGTGGTGTGGTCGTTATGATGTTGTGGTATTCCGAGCAGTTGGCAGGAAATTAGGGATTATTGTGGTCGTGTTAGGAAGGTTTCTGCGTGACTGTCTTATACAATGAACGAGTCTGTTGATAGGAAATATAGTTGCCCATTACTATGGATTTCTGAGCAGTTGGTCGGAAGTTATGAATGGTATTGATGTGGTCGTTATGATGTCATATTGTTCTGTGCTGTTGACCGAATTAATGGTCAAGGAGGATACTGAAGTGCTAGGTGCCGAGCGACATTTAGGCTGCGAAGTGTGTCAGAGAATATACACTGTGCTGTTATACCTCAATTTTTCCCCTAAGATTCCTCATCACATCATATATATCTCATGCATATCATTGATTCCATGGCTACAAGATCAACAAAGAGCTCTTAGCATTAGAGTTTTTCCCTACGAATTAAGGTTTTCATCTTAATCAAAGGTGATTCAACTAGTGCTCTTATCATTCTTGGTATGATACTAGGGTTTTAGATCACAAGCATCATAGACGTCTTCATTGGCAAGGTTCCTCGAGATATAAGGTTGTCTTCATCAGAATTTCTTCAAGGAACAAAGGCATTAGGGTTTAACTCAGCCAAAGATTTAGGGTTTCTCCTGTGTTATGCTTGATCTTGGTATTAGATCATCAGTGGAGTTTCATCATGCTAGGTTTTATCCTCAAGGCTACAAGGATCATCATTGGCTCCTTGTTGTGATTTCATCGATGTTATTTAGGGTTCCTCTTAATTGTTTACACCACAAGTCAACCCTTCTCAAGAGGCTTAAAAGATTGAATCAGGGTCTTCCTTTTATTATGATACTGGTCAAGTGATTAAGTATGGCCTTGGGTTTTCAGCATAATATTTGTTGACAAAAGAGCAAATATATGGCGTGGTAGGAGTTTGGGGATTCGTTGTAATCAAGGCCTTGTTATCTCTTCAATTTCTTTATTGTTTGCCAGTTGACTTGAATTTGAAGAGTGAAGTA